TTGGTTAGGAGATGTATTTCGGCTTCTGATGTATAAAATATTCAGATGAATATACATGTTTACATAGACAACTTAAGAAGAATCTTGAGAGAAATTGTGTAAAGATTTGGTCTAAAAAACAAATTTTATTTTTATCAGGATAATTACTCCAAACATTCTGTCATGTTAGCTAAGGAATACCTACTTTATAACTGCCCAAAAGTTATATTTAACCACCACAGGCACCAGATCATAATGTGATAGAACACCTGTGGGTAAAACAGGAGGTATAAATTAGAAAACACGAAATTTCTAGCAAAGGAGAATTAAAAAAGATATCCTAGAAGAATGGAACAGGCTAAGCCTGGGGTCACCAAAAGTTGGTCGACTCCATTACAAAAAGAATTAAAGGAGTGCTAGAAAATAATGGCTTGCCTACAGGGTAATTAACTAATTTAAAAGTTAGTAAGAAGTGAAGTGTATCATTTTGACTGTGATGTAAAATTATCCAGTACTTTTTTTATTATTTTTTTTAAATAATCACAGTTATTACATTCTGTTTATTCATTAGATTTTTAATGCAATGTTTTTAATTACTTTATTCAAATTTAAAAATATATAAATATATTAATAAATGTATATATAATATACATTGCTCTATCCTATATATATATATATATATATATATACATCCCTACTTATAGGTAGGAAGTCGCAATAGTTGTTTATATTTTACCGTTCCTAGTTTTATTTATCACTAAAAACACACCTGTATACGCATAAATTGATTTAGTAAAATTATGTATAAGTTGAATGTATATTCAACTTAATTATATTACTTCCAAATTGCGGTTACTTAAAATATTAATTAATTATAGCACTAGATAATTAAATATCGCGCAAAAACGTTTGGTTAACGCAACTGAAGCACAGAGACTATATGCGGTCTCCGAGGACGAGGTTTCCCACCTATGCTATTCATAATACGGTAGTATAGATCCTTTTTTTAGATCTCTTTAACGATGACTTTTGATGAAAGAGGTATCAAACGATAGGGAATTTCATGGAGAAGTGTTGAAGATTCATAATTTAACAATGCCTTACTGCGGTCTCTGAAGATGAAAATGCTTCCCGTCTATGGTATATTATTTTTAATTAAAATTAAATCCTCCCAGAAATAAATGATTATTCCTATATATATATATTTTTTTTTTTACTGCCAAATGAAACAGATATATACATAACTCTACTTAGATGTGTGGGATTCCTGATGTAACAAAGGAGCTTCATCCAAGATTTCGCACCGGGAAACTCTTCTTGCTACGCCACTGTTTCTTCGTACCTATCTTTCTTTGGTACAATAGACAGATAGGTTCATTCCCCTTGCTGAAGACATCCCCGACCAGGTGGAGCGAGAGTACAAAGGATGGATGACCGGCGGATGATGATACTGCTAAAAGATGCTGTGGGCGATGCCTAAGAGATGGTAATTAGGAGCTACCTATCGCGCGCCCACTTTAGAGGGGCAGCCCATTATATCACCATCTGCTCAATTTTTTTTTCTTTTCATTCTTCATTTGCCCTAAGAACTATATCCAGTTCGTATAACGTCAAATGGATATTCGAAGTTGGACGTTTTAGTTATAATTTTTAGCAATGATGCGATAGTTTGTATTATATCTCAGTGTTGTCTCAACTTGTCTTAATGGTCTTAGCATTGATTGTGATTCATTAAATTATAATCATATAATTGATTATTATATTTTACTTATCTACAACTCGTTTACATATTAAGACATCAATATTCTAAAGTATATATATTTCGGATATATAGAAGAAGATTTAGCTTCGTATCTTTCTATCTTTCTTTGTATAGAGTGAATAAAACATTTCTTATTAAAACCGTACAATTGTTTATGGTATGGATTAACCTCAGAAAAAATAATTGAGTCAATGGGAGAGGGGGGACCTGGCAATCTCTCTCTCCCCCTCCCAAATCTCTATAAATTGCATATTATTGTGTTCCTTGCAACTATTTTTATAGTACCGTATTAACGTATTTAGTATATTATTTTGATTTCACTGAATAACAAATATTAATGCAATAATTCAATTGTCCAAAATAATTTATTAATTTTTTTTTAATACTTCCTATATTCAATACATTAGGACATTTAAGACGGTTTATTGCTTAATTCATGTATATATTTTTAATGTATTTATTTAATTTTAACCTACTGACACTACTTGATCTGTTTTTATATTTTTAATCTATTCATATAGTTTTACTGCAGAAATAGCGATATTGCCGATGTAATCGATATAGAAGGTAATATGTTTGGACACGTAGAGGAGTTCAGGTATAACTAGAAAAAACAGGTCTACGATAACTAGAAAAAACGAAATTGAAGAGGAGATTAAGATTAGACTAAAACCGGGAAATGCTTATTATTTTTCTATGATACAACTACATAGTTCGCGCCTCTTGTCCCGGAACTTAAAAACTAGAATCTATAAAACCATTATCGCATCTACAGTTCATTATGGATGCAAAACGGGTCCGCTTACATTAAGGGATGAATAACATCTTAATGTTTTTGAAAATAAAGTATTGTGAACAATATTCGGACCGAAGAAGGATGAGTTAACCGGAGAGTTCAGACGGTTTCATAACACCAAATTGCGAGAACTGTTTACGGTTAATATAATTGAGATGATTACATCGCGGTGAATCAAACGGGCTTGTAAAATTGTTGGGTTTGTTAACGAAAGAATTCCTAAAAGATTAATATTTCCTGTACCGAATAGTAAACGGAGCTGGGAAGATTAAAGCCGATCTGAAGGGACTGGGTTTGGAGGTCGAGATACGTAATAAGCGGTTGTTGGTGTCGAACCTTCGGGTTCGCTAAGCCATTTATTATTATTATTAATATAATTTTAACTTATTCACTTTAATTAATTCAAGTATATATTTTTAAACATTTTTTAACCTATTTATAAAATTTTAACGTACTAACCCTTATTTAATCTTTGTATATATATATATATATACACACATATACATATATTTAATCTATTTATTTTTACTTTTAATTTCCTAACATTATTAATCTGGGTATTTAATTTTATATATTGTAAAATTATGTAATTATATAAATAAAACTTAATTCAGTAATACTTAATAATTTAAGATTTTTTTGTATATTTATTGATTCTTTGAGGTTTGCATGTACTTTCCAGAAATTAATTATATTATTATCTGTTTTATAAACTAAAATATAAACTTAGTTTGAATGAAATATAATGAATGGACTATTGAGCACAAATCATATATCAATATTCAAAAAATTTATTAATTTATTTATTTGTTTACTTCATTTATTTTTTCTGAGGTTAACATAAACAATTGTAGGGTTTTCATAGTAAATGTTTGTTTCACTCTTTACATAGAAAGACAGAAAGAGACGGAGCTAAATCTTGTTCTATGTTACCGAAAATCATATATATATATATATATATATATATATATATAATATATATATATATATAAATAAATAAATAAATAAATATATATATATATATATATATATATATATATATAGCAATCCGTTAACGATTCATTGTATATCGTCCAGATTAAGTTAATATTTTAGGTTATAATGCAAATAATATATGATTAATTTCTGAAAAGTACATAAAATTTAACGAATCTCTAAGAATTAATAAATATACACAAAAATCTTAAATTACTAAATATTATCGAATTAAGTTTTATCTTTATGATTGGATTTTTTTTTGCAATAGAGGCCTTCTCAAACGTCCTAATGTATTGAGTATAAGGTATAAGTATTAAAAAAAGTAAATATTAAATTAAATTAATAAAATATTTTGGGAAAATTAAAATATTGTATTAATATTTGTTCATAAATAAAATCAAAATAAATTACCAAAAACGTTATTATAGCACTATGATAATCAGTCCTTATGAAAATATCATTTATGAGTATTGAATGATGTGGCTGAAGACAATAGTTGCTTGCGACAGTACCGCTTTTCCGTCGATTAAGTGGATTTTCTAAGGAACCGTATCAAATATTTTAAAAATTAATCACTGATTTAAAAGAGAAGTGTATTAACCTGTATGTTTTATTACAGTATGTGTTTCGTTATTGTCTGCCATTTAATTGCAAAGGACGCTTAATTTTCAACTTGAACGACTTGAATTAATTGACTTAACTACGAACAAATTAAGCCAAGTGCTGTATATCAGTGACGGAAACACTAACTCACGTCAAAGCCGTCAATCCGCTATGTTTGGACGCCATTTTTGTACAGTGCGTTCACTTTTTTTTTTTGTGAGAACATTGGCTTATTTTTAATAAATAATTGCAAGGAACACAACGATATGCAATTTATACGGATGTAGGGGAGAGGTGCACGGTATGGAGTTCTGGCCTACCGTGTATGATTGAAGTAGGCTGTGTCCTTTTTGTCATTGGAATCACTCCTTGATAGAATTATTGCAACATATTTAGGAAATTTCTCTAACAATTTCTAGGGAAAGAATAAACGGAAAATAAGGAATCTGCTGTGACACTTTTCAGTGTTTTTCATTTATCCACTACCCGAGTAATTGGAAAACTCATTTTTTTTATTAAGCTTAATCGAAATGCAAGACGTGAGAGCTATTACAATTCTTGGACAATTTATGCAAATTTATCGAATATTCTATTTTAGCCTCTATAAGTATGGAATCTTTTTAAAATTATTATAAATTATAATTAATGACTAAAATCCGTTTTATCGACTTCGATGACGATGCGTAGGCTCAATTTTAATTTTGATTTAAAATTACATAAAAATGTGTGAGAACAGAATATAAAATTTGAACCAAAATATTTCTTTTTAAAGATTTTGTTCTCACAAAGATTTTTTTTTGTTGAATCGACAGGTCTCTTGAAAGTTTTATTTTTGTTAGTCTATTCGGAAAAATCGATTTGAATTAAAATTAACTGAAATACCTTGGTAAGTCCTGAGCTGCTGGCGCTGAATAGACGAACGCAAAGAAACTTAGAAAAAATGCAATGCAGTGTAGCATTGTCATCAGTTTATACACCATCGAATATCGGGATACTGAGCTCTGGGATATTTCAGCACAAGATAACGATAAGATAATAGGTGCTCAACAATTAGATTATGAGTACTGTGCTTTATATTTGCAACGTGTGATTTACAATACACTAAATGGTTTACTCATAACTAGAGACCGGATTTCCATGTTATTGTTTTATTTTACTATATTGTTCAAATTAAATTCATTATTCAAAATAAAAAAATATGAGGAAGGCAAATAATTCTGTGTGAAGCAAAAATCGTATTCATTACAAAAGGAAGAACTAAACACAAGTGAGATCTATTCTTGGAATAGAACTTGCCAAAAGTATTGGATAATAAAGAGCTGCATTCCTAGAATTAGCTGCTTTATTAGTAAGACATTTATGGTTGTTGTTTTGGCTTGAATCCTCACTCACCGTTCAACCCTTCAGTATCACTTTTGGCTTTGAATTGATTTGTAGAAATTTATTTCTTATAAAAAAAAATACATTGCTGAATCTAAGTAAAATCTAGTCTCCCGTCAAAAATTAAAATATGGATATAAAAACACCCCGATTTGAAATGTGAGGACAAAGAATTTGATGAGAAAGTTCTAATCACCTTATGAATCAATCAGGTGATAAAAATAGACGCTCATTGGGGAATATGTAAGAAAAAAATATTGTAATCAAAGAATTGAATGTTTTTTTTTGTTTTTTTTAGAAATAACGTAATCCCCAAAAATATTTTTTAGTTGTATAGAAAACCAGCTTCAACACTAATTTTTGAACAATTGAAAAGCTCAAACATTAAAGTCCATTTAATTTTTTTTTTCAAAATTCTTTAAATTTTAACATGAGCGTTTGGGAATGTATAATATTGGAAACTTAAACTCTAATAAAAAATATAGTTTTCATTCCTATTTTTAATAAAAGTTATATGTCTGAAATTGGTCTGATTTATGTAATATATACTAAGGCACCTATAATTCCTACCTTCATTTATTCTTTCAAACCTTCAATGCTCTGTATTATTTGATAACAATCGTTATTATAATAGTTGATTATAATCTGGAATTTCATTTTCAATGTTACATTTTAATTTTTTTTTTCTAATCTCTCGGTTAACTCAAGGTCTGATAAGATTTCGATGTATTAATGTTATGAATTAAATAATATTGATGATTTTACACGTTTTTAGGCGTTAATTATAAAATTTTACGTATTTTGGATTTCTACTGCACAATTTTGCACATTTTGAGTTTTTTACTGCACGAAAATCCGGTCTCTACTCATAATCATCCAACAGTATTTTTATATTACAGTGTTTTTATTGTATTGAATGGTATGCAATATGATCTTCTGACGTTTTAGATTATGAAGGTTTCTTATTTAATTAATGACGAATTAAATTGATATAGAAACAAGCACAGAAAACCCTCTGTCATGAAGATGAAATACTTAATAGAAACTTTTGTTAAGTAGCCATTTCCAAAACCGAAGATAATTGATTGTAGTTCGGTTTACGGTTGATTAAGGATCAGAATGCTCTTTATAAAATGACCCATCCAGCGGAGAAATAGAAGTTTGGCAACCCCCTCAAGGTGTCCCGTAATGGGTAGAATGGCGCCGGATAAGAGTGGCGGCTGGAATAAGTTGTAATAACAATAAGGCTGGTGGTGTTATTCTTAAGCCTGTTTGGAAACAGTCTTCTGAGGCTGGAAGAAAGTTTCACTAAATCTTGGAATCATAGTTCGTTTTAATAAATAAAACAATAAATTATGAAAATCATTAATTATGATATAGCTTGTAATCTGGTTTAACAGAATAAAATTTGGGTGTTCACAATTGGGTAACATTGAGTTACTTCGATGTAAAAAAAAAAAAAATGTCTCGGTCTCAGTATTTTATGAGGAATTGCTGATTCTGGGTCAAGGATTGCACAAGTAGGTAATTTGTCCGAGCTCACGCTCATTTGTAGGTTTTTTCTCTTAATTAATTATTCAATAATGAATAAGAACTACAGAGACTGGCTGTGCCTCAAGAGGGTCTTGTAACCCCAGGGTCCGAGGATCTAATGAAACAGAATAAATTATTAACAGTCAAAGTTTGATTCGAACCCGGGAACTGGAGCATAGGAATTTAGCACAAAAGCCCACTACGTACACACACATATATTTAAATCAATATAAAATATTTCTCAGTGGTGACTCCGTAAAAATGAGTTGAACCAACGTTTCACTTCATACCAAGATATATTTGTTTTTCAATATAAATAGTAGTTTTGCTAGAAGGTTGAAATTTTTATCAAAATATTTTAACAGTTTCTGTGAAACTTTTTAGAGAAAAAGTTCTTAAAATTAAAGTCTTAAAATAATTTTTTTCTAATAAAGTTCCATTTTTCAGGTAAATGTTTAACTTTTATTTATTCAAGTTCTTAAAAAAAAAGTCTCGTGAAATGAAAAAAAATAAAGAGTAATTAGGCTTAGATTAGGGTTATCATTCGTCATAAATGTATTGCACATGATTGTAATGTGTCGTTTGTTTGAGTAGCTAGGAATAAAAATTCTTTATTAGATCGATGTTTTAGGGAAATCGACATAACTTTTAAATAAAAGATTTTTTTTTTAATAAAAGTTTTGTAAAACATTTACTTGAAAAGTTGTAAGGACAAAAGTTCTAGTTCCAAAATAACTAGACAGTAAAAATTCCGATGATACCGAAACTATTAAAAAATTAAAGTTTTTCCCGTTTAAAGCACCGGTTTTACATTTAATGTTAGACTTATGTATTCTGAAATCGGACCAACTTGAGATGTTTACAGTATATAAGACATTTTAATCACTAATGAGTGATACAATATGGAAGGGAGAAAAATGGAAAAAAATATTATCATATGTACAGTCCTACGTTCCTAAAAGATTTAACAATATTTATTTTTATTGATTTAGAAGTTTTTATTTTTAATAAAACGAGCTGTGTTTCAGTATTCATATTTTTGTTTTATTTTTCAATATTATATTAAGTAATATAATAAACGCCTTTATAGCGACAGGAAAGGAAATCATTTGCAGGAAGCCGTCTTTCAACTCTTTGAACTCGGTATCCTTATTCCTTACTCCAACTTTTTATATTGACCTTTTCCTTAATATAGTCATTTGATTTACTCCTGGATTGCTCATGGCAAGGCGTTTGCTATAGGTCGTAGTGTATAGCGTTGTCCTCAACTGCTCGATACCCGCTAATAACTATTTATATATGATAAATAAAGAGGTTGGAAAAAGGGAAACAGCGATTCCTGCATGGCGTCCTTTAATGCCGGCGGTAGCTGCCTCGTATTTTCCTCTTATGATTCCACTCATCTTTATTGCAACACCTCACTGTGTTTATATTCCACTAGCTGCCAACATATTTAGAAAGTACGAGTAGAAAGTACGAAAGGGGATTACACCAAGACATTTTTCTTCGATGGAGAAAAAAATAGCTGAGAAAAACTTAATTGAGATAAATACTGACATAACCTTCAAGAGCAACGGTTTTAGAAATAATTTTCATCCTTAACTCCCACTGAAAAAAAAAATTAAACATGATACTACCTTAACTGATATATAAGAAATATGATGGGGCGGGCTCATTACAAACTGTCACATTCTATTACCCAGGGATCTCCAGGAGGGAGTTTCATGGCGCAAAGTTCAATCGCAAAGCATCAAAATTTATAATATATTATATATAATGTAATATATATAATATATATTATAAATATATTGACGGGGTTTTCAATTTTTGAGACAGCAAGATGTGTAATCTACGGACATTTAAATTCTACTTTTTGCACTGTTTTTAAGAAGCCGAGAGCAATAAAATACCTTAGTAGGCGTGGGGAGGGTGGAGGATGGACACCCCTGCTCATACCTTACTATTTAGAAGAATACATATTTCAATAAGAGTTGTTTATATCCAAAGTGAACACAATCGCATTATCGTAACATCGAAGTATAAAAAAAAACTACAAAAAAAAACTACAAAAATAGATCAAGAAATTCTTTATTTGTAGCAAATACTTCCAAAAATCACTTTATATTTAAATAGTAATTAAAGACGTGTAATTAAATTACGTGTCATTAAATTTCGTGTAAATAGGTGGAAGAATATTGAAGTTATGACACTTTTTGAGATTTTCGAAAAAATATCAAAGGCCAATAAGTAGGAAAAAAAATGTATTTTTCGATCGCAATGAAAATTCGTATTCGAGGATCTTTTATAATCTGCGAAATACAAATATCAACTCTCTTCCTCCATAAAAAAATATTTCAACACCCTTCCTTCCTTCCGTAATTACAAATTGTTTAAATTTTACATATTTTTTTATAATCTTCTTATTCTTATTGATTGATTATTTTGTTTGCATACATTATTGGATTATTTTTAAAAAATCTTACTACTCCTTTCCTGTTTTAAAACCACTTGGCCCATGTTATGTTGTGCCTTCGACTGCTCCCAGCTACAACTGTCCAGAGGCGCAGGATCAAAGGCAGACACACTCGGAGCGGCTGGCCTTTGCTCATCCAGATCGGGTCGCAGGAGACATGAATATGTATTAGAGCTCCATAGCGTATTCTCTCAGCACCCAGCGCTCTCTTATTTATTGGTCCGGAGGTACACCGTTCGCTGATAGAGGCGTCACACTCTGATCTGTGGCCTGACCTGGAAGTCGTGACGGAAGTAGCCACGGCAGGGGATCGTTGCGGATTCTTTCGTAAGGGTGCCGTCTTACTATCTCGTAAGGAGGGCAACAATCTATGATGGCTAACAATCAGGTTTCGAAAAGCATTTAATGGTAGTACTGGTTGCCCCAGAGCCGGTCTATATGAGGCAGGAGTTTTAATAATAAATTAAGACATTTTATTTGTGATAGTTAATTTCGAATGAGCGCAGGTTTTAATCGTTATCTGAAAGATTGATTGAGCTCGTGTTAAAATAATTGCTTAGTCATGAAAGTAGTGGCAGTAAAGAAGAGAACTCGACTTCATAGGGGTAAATAA